GCCCTAGGTTCGGCACTCGTAACTAGGGTTCCGATCGACCGGTGCCGAAGCCCACCTTCCAACCTCCGTACTACACACCCTTGCGTTCTCGCCAAGTGTCTCGCGCGGTTTGTATCGCCACGGACAACGCCGTCGCGCTGCGAGACGGAGAGAGCGAAAAGAGTTCGCCTCCCCTCCGGTGCCCTGGTGCCCTGCGTATTCGTATTTACGACGTATTACGTACCTGTCGTGTAGCATCGAGGATGCAGCCGTCAGTCGGCTTCCTTCGCGGAGACACGTGCGGAGAGACCGAGGGACTCGCGCGCACATATGTCTCGCGACGCGTATCCTCGTGTGTGAGTCTGCTCGTGGACGTACACGAGGAGCACGCGCGATGTCTCCGTTTCAACGAGTACATCGCGCGTACGGTGTGTGTGTGTGTGTGTGTGTGTGTATCTCTCTGCATATGCATGTACATGTCGCATATCCAGTCCCCCTCTTCGAGCAGCGCGCGTAACAAGCGGCGTGTGAACGCGCGAGCGCGCAGCACACGGCCGCTAGTATACGCGACGAGACCGCGTCGATGTTGAGGAAAGAGGATTTCCCGGAGACGCTTAGTATACACAATACAGCGGGGCACCAGTTCAGGGAGAGCCCGCAACTTTTTGCTCTCGCGATCCTCTCGATCGGAGGATCTCCCTCCGATCTCGAATTTGTTGCATTTGTCTTGTTTCCTCCTTCTGGTTTGCACCAGAAGATACACAAGGGTTGTTAAGTACGGGGGATTGGGGGTGGACCTCGCGCGCCCTGCCGATCAGGACTTGTACCTCACACAACTCCCTAGTTACGAGTACCGAGACCTAGTGGCAATGATTATTATAACTCGATCGTCACGATTTTGCTTCCCGCTGCCCGTCTATTTGCTCTCTCCATCTCCCTCTCGGGGTTCGTCGCACACCGAACGTGTCGACCGATGTCGAACGCGCGACTCACAAAGTTCATTCACTATCGCTACTCACGGTCCGCTTTCGATCCCGATCTCGCACAACCAAGGTAGTAACACTACCTGCGACCTGCTCTGTCTACCGTCCCTCTCGGTAGATCCCTCTCTTCTCTCGCGTCCCTTCACCCTCTCTCGTCTACCGACGTCTCCCTCCCTCCCTCTCTCTCTCTCTCTCTCTCTCTCTCTCTCTCTCTCTCCCTCTCTCTCTCTCTCTCTCTCTCGTCGACTCCCGATAACCGCGCTAAGCTAACAATAAGTTAAACGCTATAATTTATCTCGCTAACGCTACAAGCCTTCCGAAACGTAACCGACCTCGTGTTCTCGTCTCGCCTCCCTGCCTGCCTGCCTGCCTGTTATCGCATAATTCTCGCGAAAACGCCTCGCACGATGTGCTGCCCTATCTACCCTATCTATCTATCGCGCGCATGTCCCTTACTTCTCGATGTCCCGAAGGTTCTACTAAAAAATAGACAGAAACTTCGCTTTGTCACGCGTATGAGCCTTAATCCTATTACGTATATTCAGATCACGGTTAATAATCTTTCTCTCTCTCTCTCTCTCTCTCTCTCTCTCTTGCGCGCGCGCGCGCGTGCTCGCTAACTCGCTCGGCGAATTTAACACTAGTCCCTCGAGCGACGGTTCTCGATTAACTTCGCCCTCGCTGCTGCTAATAACCGCTCCTACTCGCGCGGTGTCTCGATCGAGAAAGACGCGCGCGCGCGCCGCGGCGTCACCCGCGCGTGTACGCCCACGAAAGGGGCTACCTGGGGAAGTAGACGCCGCGTAGACGATATAATGCCTGTCGTAAACACGCCTACCGCGTCGATAGTATCGATCATCGTCCAACGCGCGCGGCTACATCGAGGCCGTCTCTCAGCTACCAGCCGCGCCGCGCTCGCGCGTGCTCTCGTGCCCCCTTTCTGTGTGGATAGCGCGCGCGCGCGCGCGCGATACAGCGGCGTATAAAAATCGCGGTCAGTTGATGCGGCGGTTGATGAAACGAGCGAGGAAGAGAAAAGATCCAAGAACAAGCGGCGAGAAAAAAACGCCAAGACAGGAGAAAAACGGAACGAGGGCGCACGCGGTTGCGCCCGCCCTTCCGAAATCGCGATAATATCATCAGTTAACCGACTCGTCGTCCCTCTCTCTCTCTCTCTCTCTCTCTCTCTCCCGTCTACCTGCCGCGCGATATACACACCTGGCGTGCGCGCGAGTATGCCGCGGTGCTCGTTTCGGTGCTGTTACATCGCCGCGCACACCCGTGTGCGTATTGTTCCTCCCTCCCTCCCTCCCTCCCCCTCCGCAACCTCTTGTTGCTCCGAAGCGATCGCTCGTGTTGAAGACGCTCAGCCGAACTCTCAGTCGAACTGTGGCCAGTTCGATTCTCTCCACGTGTCCCTCTCTCTGTGTCTGTCTCTCTAACTACCCTGATCGCTCTAGCTAGCTCCGCTCTGCACGACCTACGACTACTTAAATTCGCGCCGACGCCGACGGCGACCAAGTCTCGCGCGCGGGAAGACGCGCGCGAACGCGCCCTCCTCTCCTAATGCCCGCTCTTTTATACAAATATCTCGTACGTCTTCGTGCGTCATGCCGTGCCGCGAGAGACCTTGAGGAGAGTCGCGGGAGGGAAGGTTGAGAGAAGAAGAATGAGAAAGAAAGAGGGAGCGAGGCGCGGTCGCGCGCGAGAGATCGGACCGACGCCTCCTCGCTTCTCGGAGCGGTTTATCGACGCGCGAACCGCGCGTCTCGTTATTTCCGATAACTGCCAGGCCCGCAGATGGGTAGAGAGAGAAAGAGAGGAAGGGGAGAAACAGAGAGAACCCTCCCCCCCCGCCCCCCTCGTCCGACCGAACGCTCCGACCGCACGAAGAGCAACACGCGGAGAAGAGGATCGGTTGCATAAGGCTGCGCGCGCGCGCGCGCGCGCGCGGAGAGCCCGCGAGCGGCCGTTCGGCGCTCTCGCGCCGATAATAGCCCATTACGACTGGTTTCCGAGTCGGTTTCGGCCCGTGAGTATCTCTGAATATGTTTTCAAAACGAATCGTTCCCGAGGGCCGATGTCAACGGACGACCCCGCTGCTGCTGCTGCTCTCTCTCTCTCTCTCTCTCTCTCTCTCTCTCTCTCTCTCTCTCTCTCTCTCTCTCTCTCCCCTCCCCCCCTCTCTCTCTCCCTCTCCTTTTCTCTGCCTCTCGAAACGAATTTAGAAACAATCTTCGGCGCCACGTGATGGGACGGCTTATGCAATCGCGAGAATCCGCGTCGGACGTGCATCGCGCTCGAGCGGAATTACGGACGCACCGCGAGAGAAACACGCAAAGGCGGTTACACACCACGTCCATGCGACGACGGACGAGCGCAAGACGATGGAACTCTGGCAGCATTGAACGCAGAGCAAAGTGCTCCGTGCGGCTGATTGCCTTGTCTGCTGGCATCGACGGAGAGAACCTGACGCCCAGGGCTAACGCTTAAACGTGAGTAAATGTAGAGAATAGCTTGAGCTTGTGAATGTGAGAGCAGTTGCGACGGACTAATATAAACCGTACCGCGCTGTGCCTCTCTCTCTCTCTCTCGCTCTCTCTCTCTCTCTCTCTGTCTCTCTGTCTCTGTCTCTGTCTCTCCCTCTCTGTCCCCTTGCCGGGAACGCGACTCGTGACTTTGTGAGCGAGAACGTAGTGAGAGAAGAGAACGAGAAATGAATGAACTCCGGAGCCAACGGCCGAGCGCCGAGAGCTGAGGGAGAGATCGGCGCTCGTCCTCCACCGTTCGCTGGAGCAATACGAGGCTGTTGACGGAAACATACCGAGAGAAGAAGAGTGCCAACAAGTAGCGCCGGTCCAACAAACCGCGAGTTTCTAGTTTCCATAGTCGCGCGGCAGGTTCTGCGCGCGATCTCTAGTGAGATCTGTCCACGAAACGAAATCTCGACGGTTCCCTCCTCAACCTCCTCTTCCTCCTCCTTCTCCTCCCCCACCTCCCGCGAGGAGAGTTAGCCGTGTGTTAACGGATAGAGAACTGCAGAAGTCGCTGCCCACACGTGCACTCGCGTCTCAAACATCGATCAGCGTAGCTGATGCGCGGGCAGGTGTGCCAGCTATGTCTTCCTGAGAGAGAGAGAGAGAGAGAGAGAGAGAGAGAGCACAGACCCTTTCTGCTGGACCTGGACTGCTGTTGCGTTCAGACTCCCACACACGTTTGTGACCTCGAGTCAGAGAGCACTGTGCGCATCCGACCTGACGACTCGCTGCTCTCGTGGTTGTCAGTCGCGGCGGAACAATCGGATCGTTCTCGATTTCGCGATAGAGAAGGAGAGACAGGACACGGGTCGACCCGTTCGTTCGTGGCGGATCGCGCCAACCGACCCTCGACAACCCGACAGCCCGAAAAGTCCGAGCGAAACACGCGGCGGACGAGGTAGCGGAACAACACGACGTACGGCGGCGTAAAGAATAATAAAAAAGAGGTAGAATTATACGGGATAAGCGGCGGCGAGGGGGGATGGGGGAGGGGGGATGGGGGAGGGGGGAGCAACGTCGCGGGAAGGACAAGAGAGTCAGAAGTGGTCTCGCAAAATCGGCACGGAAGTCGCGCGGTGGTCTATTACGAGCACGGATAGACGGCCGAGTTGATGCTGTGGTAGGCGGCGAGGGCGTGCGCGTGCGCTGGGGGCGCGGATGCGGCTGCGTGCGGCGAGGTGGCCATCGCGGATGCCGCCGCGGCTGCCATCATCATCTGTTGGTGCGAACGCTTTAGGGAGTTGGGAGTTGTGGCGGCGCTACTTGGGGTAATAGCAGTAGTAGTGGTGGTGTTCGACTGCGGCGCAGGGTGGTGGTTTTGGCTTTGGTTTTGGCTCAGTTGCAGGGGGGTGGTAGCGGCGGTACTGCCGATCCCGGCGTGATTATTATTATTGTTGTTATTATTCTGGTGGTGGTGGTGGTGGTGATGGTGATGGTGGTGGTGGTGGGGGGTGAGCGCGTCGTGCGGATAGTAAGACGATGACGATGGTGAGGTACTCACGACGTCCGGCGTGCTGGCTCCGTCCGTGTGGCTGGTGCTGTCAGCGGTGCTCCTAGGTCCGCTGCCGTCCAGACCGTTACCCAACTCGGGTGGCTTCGAGCTCTCTCGGTCGTCGATTACTAGGTCTATCGGCATCTTGCCCTTCAAACAGCTGATGTACCGATGGCAGAAATTGTCGCAGAGCTCATGTACCTGAAACACGAGGAAGACAGAAGGAACGTTCATTAGTCGGCCGGTCGTGAGCGTAGACATCGAGATAGGTACACTACACCCTCGGCTCTAGCTCGGACCAAGGAGCTCATACAGATACCGTTTCCCAAAAGACATCTTCCACATAACTGAGTGCGAAGGCTGATTAACCGCGCCGCCGGATATAATTAATAGACGGATTCCATCGAATGAATCGACAACCGACCGTGGTTTCACCGAGGTATGAGGCACAGACGGAGAAAGAAGGAAGGGAGAAAGAGAAAGAGAGAGAGAGAGTGGACGCGGCGTATCGATACACGAAGATGGAGGAGGCTGGTGTGGGCATCTCGAGAGATCGTGGAAGCGGTCTGGTAGCTGAAGAGAAACCGATGCGACGGACGGAGAGAGAGAGCGAGAGAGAGAGAGAGAGAGAGAGAGAGAGAGAGAGAGACAGAGGGGAGGGGAAGGAGGGAGAAACAGAGTCAGAGAAAGAAGGAAAGAGTGAGAACGAGAGAAAAGAAGATAGAGGAGGAGAGGAGGTCTGACCGGTGTCCAGTCGACCAGAATGTTATGTATGCAAATGAGGCCTGACAGGCCTATAGGATAGCCAGTCCTCCTCCGTCTCCCTTTCGACTCATCCTCTCTCAGCCGTCGCCCTATACTACCTCCGTCCACATCCCGACCCTATCGTCCTCCCGCCTCTGATTCGCCTTCTTGATTCCGTTTAGAATAAACGTATTATATAAGCAAGAGCAAATAAAAATCGTTATCTTGTTATATGTAAATCGTCGGCGAGCCGAGACGAGGCATTATGAAGAAGCCGCGTAGCGGTCTTCTTCGCGAACGTACACCCACCCTGCGTCTCTCCCCCATCGTCCTTCGTTCCCGGGGCAACCTCGCGCGAGCGTTACCTCAACCGTCTCTATCGGCCCGCCGGTCACTTGTAACGCTCTTATTAGGCATTTATGTATAATAGAGAAGAAGACGGCCATCTTTGCCGTAGGCGGCACCGTCCAATAGTGGTGTGCATCGAGAACGCACGGACAATGCGCGTGCTTATCGTGGAGAGCCATGTACGCGAGAAGAGCCGCGATCGAATTTCCCTCGGCCGATCGAAGAGGCAGAAAAAGTCGGCTGAGAGAGACAGACGGACAGACAGAGAGAGAGAGAGAGAGAGAGGAACGAGCGGCTTCGCGTATCCTTTGCAGAGACTGGAAGCTAACTTATTACTATCTGGAGTTCGTGGTAATCGACACGATTCGGTGTTACACGGTAACGCAAAGGGTCTGAATAGAGTCCAATCTAAGCGGGCGCTTTGCATATCGGGGCAAGATTGTCGGGGGTGGTTGCCGGGCGCCGATCGGTTCACGAGAGGTTACTCAATGACGATATTATTAGGGGCGATCAATGAGATCGTTATGGATTTTCTGCCGCGTCACCACGAGACGACGATACATTTCGCGTCGATCAGCGAACATTCGTCGCGCTCGTTTAACTTCTTTCAAAAATGAGGGGCCCTCGTCGGGAGTGATAATGCGCCGCGGCAACCTCGGTCCCGCGCTTCTTCCATGCGGGGTACCGACTCCCCGCCTCTTCTTCCATGCCGCTTCCATCGCCCCAACGTCGTCGTGTACCACCGCGACGCGGTAACACAATGCCCGCTCAGGATGACTAGACCCCCCCTCTCCCCCTCCCCACCCCCCTCTCTCTCTCTCTCTCTCCCTTTCTCTCTCTCTCTCTCTTTCCCGCCCTCCCTTCTTTCGCTCTTTCTCTAGTTAATGGAGAGACCAAAGGGCGGTGGGAGGAGACGAAGGACTCCGAAGGACAGCGGCTATAATGCCGGACTGGTTAGAATTTGATCCGCCGGGAGTCGAGTCGAACCGAGCGACAATGCTCAGCGATGAAGAGAAATAAAAATGCCCCCTTCGTACGCAGGGAGTCTGAGGGCGTCAAATCGATCCCGGAGTCTTGCGGATCTCCGGATCAACATTGAGGTATTTCAAAATACCTCGCCTCGATCCTGTGGCGTTTTGCGCAAATAATCGGTTGCGGAGTAATAAGAGATATACTCGCTTGTAGATCTCGCAGTATTCTCGCGCCGTACGTAGTGAAATCTCAAACGACGTTAATTCATGTGTAAACCTACGTACCGCGCGGCTGTAGCAGGAAATTATCGGAAAAGGCGTTACTCGCTGGGATCGATACTCCAACTACGATACTGAACACGATACGATCGCGTCGGAACACACGAGTTTTTGCAATCTATCCTACCATTGAATCGCGTCATCCTACACCGTGGACGATGATCTCGCAGGGAGACCGATACGGGATACAACAGGGAGGTCGTCCCCGGCGATACGACGCACGGGACGTTGTTCTCGATCGCCTGTAGCCTCCCTTTTCCATGGGCACTTTCGGCGGCGGCGGCGGCGGCGGCGGCGGCCGTGGAGCAACGGAGCAAAAGGACAACGTGCAGTTAGGTCCGATCCTCTTTCTCCCTCGAAGGAGAGAGAAAGTCGTGTCGTCCGAGGATATCTCGTGGCGCGCGATACGACAAAGTGGCCCGTTATCTGCGGACCGAGGCGAGCGAGACAAATTTCGGACTACGTCCGTAATTGGACGCGGTACGAAAATAGTCGCCCGGATGCGAATATCGCTGCTTAAAGTTTCAGCGCAAGTTAAATTACGATTCAATTTCCAATCGAGGCTCGGCATCGATCGGATTAAACTTTCACGGAGGACATCGCGATCGGGAAGTCTAAACGCTCGCGGTAATGCGATTTCTATCGATGTCCTCGTGCGAGGACGGAAACGAGAACTATTCGGAATCGATGAGTGACTTCTTCTTCCGGGGTTCGAATGCGCGCCATCAGAGTTATCAGTTGCGCGAGTGAAAGAGAGAGAAGCAGAGAGAGAGAGAGAGAGAGAGAGAGAGAGAGAGAGAGAGAGAGAGAGAGAGAGAGAGAGAGAGAGAGAGACGATTATTGTCATCGCGGGTGTCCGTGCGCGAAGAGAATCGCGCAGAGAATGGAACCTCGATGCGAGTGCCGCTTTCGGTATGACGACGTCATCGGTGTGAGGTGAAAGACGTCACACGCAAGAAAGTCGCGGTTAGATTCATCCCACAATGTCGCGGACGATGTCGCTGTAACGTGATATTATACCCGTTTTATGGGCGATTTAACAGTTCGAATGTGCTCGAGGATACCTCTTCGTACACGGTCGACTTAATGCGCGAGAGAGAAATCGTCGGGTCGCTCCGTCAAATTCCATTCGCCACAGTCGCCTCCGACAACATCTCCTCATGCCAAACGCACAGAGAAGCGAAGAGATGAAGGGAGCAAGGCAGAAAGGCAGAAAGAGAAAGGGAGAAAAAGAGAGAAAGAGTATCCAGTTTTACATCTGGGTCAGAATCTAGCTCGCCAATCTAACGATTGTTTTCAAGTAGCACATGTATACAGTCAGCAAGCACATAGAGTACGCGGGGTGCGCGCAGGGGAATTTTACAAGAAACTCGTTATCCGTAACGTCGCTCTCTCTCTCTCTCTCTCTCTCTCTCTCTCTCTCTCTCTCTCTCTCTCGATTATTCCCGTGCGTTTTCACGTGGTTTCAAAGAGGAAGACCGAAACCAGTTCCCCAATTCAAAGAGAACATTTAAACGATTCTCTCCCCTTTCTCTCGGCGATCCCTGTTATCATGGAGGGAGGAGAGGAGAAGGGGGAAATTCCACGCGGGGCGACATTATACGAACTCGAGGACCTCCTTTTCATCCGACCTCGAAATTGCTCGAAAATTTACGTAAACGAAGGAAAGAACGGGTGTAAACGCGTCCTCTACCTCTCTCGCGCTCTCTTTCTTTCTCCCTCCCTCCCTCCTTCCCTCTCTCTCTCTCTCTCTCTCTCTCTCTCTCTCTCTCTCTCTCTCTCTCTCTCTCTTTCCCCTCTATCTCGCTGTCCTCGCGCTACCGCACCCGCTCCTTCCGCCCTCTTCCCGCGTCTCTTCACGGACTCTCGGAAAGGCAAACGCCGAAGAATGGAACGGATCCGTGGTACGTACGAGCGAGAGAGTAGAAAAGGAGGAACGCAAGGAACCCCATTTACGGCACAATGGGCTCTTTTGAAGCCGAAGGTAATGAAGGTTTCGGGGTGTCTGTCTCGGTCTCCCTCCCTCGCGGCCTGATTCGCAACTTGACCACCCTTACGGCACGCATAGGATATACCGGGTGTACGCGGCAAACGAGATCGCCCGTTTTCTTCGTTTTCGCAGGCGCTGGACGGTACCGCGGTGTGGTATCGACGAGTCAATCGCTCGGCGATGACTCGATGATGAGAAACGCGTCGATCGAGCGATCTGCCGAAGCGAACACACATCGGGCGCGTCAGGCCGCGTTGATGCGAAAGTTCAACTTGAACGTTGAAAGCACAAGCAGTACACCACTGTGCCGATTCTTTTCCATGCGCGAACGCCAAGGTACGTCTTTACACACTAGTATGACTAGTTTTCCTCACGGCGCGCGTGCAAAGAGATCCCGCTAGTGTTTAAAGCGCTACCCCGTGTGGCGCACATTTCAGCGAACCGACCAGTTAAGACTTCATTTCTGCGGGCACCGCGTGTCGATCCGCCTCGGACGTCTCGCGGCAAGATCGTCGCGCGCGCGCGCGAGAGAGAGAGAGAGAGAGCTCGACAGAGCGGCGGCACGTACGTGCGCTGCGCGCAGGAACACGAGGATATTCCAGCGGGAGAGAGCGACGTGCGCTGGCATAGGTTTAGAACCAGTTTCCTGCAGCGCGTCCAGCAGGCTGCGGAGGGGGGGGGAGGTCGCGCCCGCGTGTTGTACCAGTACGAATCCCGTTGGTATGCACTGTGTACGCCATAATATCCCATAAGAAATTTACCGCTCTCTAACCGGTGTACGCGCGAGGCGGTTCTGCCCAGAGTCCTGCGCCGAGGAGGACGACGGAAGAACGGAGTGGAGGAGAGTAGAGTAGAGAGTAGAGAGAAAAGAAGAGAAGAGTACCGAGAGGGGAACTATACTATACAGGGGAGGGGGGGAGAGAAAGAGAAAGAGAAAGAGAGAGAGAGAGAGAGAGAGAGAGAGAAAGAGTCGCTACGTCGCCGTCAAAAAATACTCCACCGCGAAGGCAGAGAGGCAGACCGAGAGAGAAAGAGGGAGAAAGAGAAGGGAAAAGGGCCTGACCGGATCTTCCTTCCGCGCACCGGGCCCCGGCAAAACGTAATTATGCTAATACGCGATTGGTTCGAAAATGTTAAATGCACGAGGCGCAGGCACCGCGGGCTACCATGAGCCTCCCTCCATTGGTCCCCTCTCTCTCCCATTCTCTACGCTACGTTGAATCGTTCTCTGTCTCTCTCTCTCTCTCTCTCTCTCTCTCTCTCTCTCTCTCTCTCTCTCTCTCTCTGTCTCTCTCTCTCTTTCTCTGTCTCTCTCTTTCCCTCGCCGTCTTCCTCCACTGTGCGAGCACAGATATTTATGGAATCTTCTTCATCGCGCGCGCGCTGCATTCCGCTTCGCTCGCTCGCGTCTCGTCTCGTTTCGTCCCGTCTCGTCTCGTCTCGTCTAGAAGAGGCCCCGGGGACCAGAAACGTTTCAATCTCCGTTACCGTCGATGGCGTGCCAAGCCGCGCTTCTCGTGTCTCCGGGATTACGGGACAGAGAGAGATTCGACACTCGCGACCAGTCCCGATTTACACACGCCAAGAGCAGTATCGGAGTATCCCCGCCGCGAAAAATACACCACCGCGCCGCGTTTTATCTCACGCAGCGTGCTCGTGCGCGTATTCCGCTAATTTCTTTAATCGTGCGCGCTTCCATTAACGCGGGCGAATTTAGAGGCACGAGCAAGTAACGAGTAATAAGCGCTATCGCGATAAAATGAAGCGTCGCTGGTACCTTCGAGCGAGCACCAATTAGCGAATTCATTTGCTTCGACGCAGATAAGCCGACGCGAGAGTGCGGAATCGCGTTTCGGTGATTTATTCGCCGGCCTTAATGCTTCCCTCCCTCCCTCCCCCCCTCGCTCCCTCTTTCTCTCGTCCGCCGGTTTGAATCGTGCCACCCGAGCGCTCGCGTGTTCGTATAGAATCGTCGCGGAAAATTTATATTCCGTTCGATTCTATTTTACAGACAGATACTTCATTTGCGTCACGCCGCGTCAGGGAGAGAGAGAGAGAGAGAGAGAGAGAGAGAGAGAGAGAACCGAGCCAATTTTCCGTCGAGGGTAGAGACGCGCGAATCATGTCGGACGAGAACTATAATACCCGCCGCCGTCGACGATCGCAGTGCATCGAAAACGCACCAACAATCCCGACGATAGTCGAATCCGCCGCGGGTGATGACGCGGCATTATAATAATGTAATCGCCATAAATGAGGAAAATTGCTATAAAATTGCGCGATCGAACCGGACGAGCGGCCGGGGCCGGGGTGGCGAGGGCCGCGAAGAGGTCTCGAGAACGCGCGCGGCCAATGGCTGGCTGCCGCAACGTCAGCTGCCATTTCGATGGAAATGCGATGGATGTCCGCTATTTTGTATGATAAAATATCGCCGCAAAAAGCGCCTGGGCAAACCAGACCCGCCTCCGTGTCCCGCGGGCGCAGCCATTCGGCTGGATAGAGAGAGAGAGAGAGAGAGAGCCGGTCGAAAAATCCTTGCACGTTGCACCGAGAGAGCGTTATTATCCTTCCTCTCTCGGCGAAGCGTGCAACGCGAGGAAAAAGACGCGCGTTTCCGAGAACCTCGTGGCAACGAGCGAAGAACGAAGGACTTTGCGACGAGACAAGCACGACTCCTCTCGTTCGTCCCTCGCTCTCTCGCTCGCGCCGATGAAAAGCCCGGACGGTCTCGGAATTTCCCTCGACAGATGTCTCACTTTCACCGCGCGACCGTAATTCCACGACGCGCTGGCTGGCTGGCTGGCTGGCTGGCTGACTGGCTGGTGGAGTATCGAGAACGTATTGTCATTTCGCCCGGGTGATCGGAAAGAAGGGGTAGTACTCCTCAACGACGGACGGAAAAAGAAGTAGGGGGAGAAACACGAGAAACGGGAGCGACATCGCGGAGCAGACAACTCGCCACAACGAGTTAACGCGCGCGCACCAGCTGTTGAACAGCGAAATGACTCCACTTACGTTTTAGAATCGGTTCGGTTCGGTTCGTGTCCACGCGCCCGCGCGCGAGCGAGGCCGAGCTTTCACCGCAATTACGGAAAATTGCCCCCGCAGTCATAACAGTCGTTTTTTAGGTGTTAAAGGCGACTTATCGGCAGCGGGCGCAGCGGTAATCTCTTACAATGAGGCCGATCGCGAGAATGTCCAGTCGACCAGTGTACACACTGCACGTAGCGAGCAGGAAACCGCTTCTTGCGTCACACAGCGATTTTCACGTCGCGCGGCCTTTCCTTCGCACTTTTTTAGGCAGAAAGAAAAGTTACGCGAGCACGCGAGCGAACGCGCGCGCGCGCACGCTATCTTCAGTTTTCAGGCCAACATGAGACGAGAAAATACGTCCTCTGTGTGGCCAACTGGTAGAAATGGAAATCGCGACACCGCGAAACATCTGAATTCGACTCGAGTATACGAGAAAAAGGGGGACGGCTTACGGGAAGATAACGATCAAAATATGAGACCGAAGCAAAGATTTTATCGCTGATATCGCCGTCGACGGAACGAGCGAGAAAGTCTGATCTTTGGACAACGAGATTTCGTAAATAGGTGATCCGCGCCTCATCGGCGAATCCGCGCCAACATTATGAGCCTCGTAAGGTGGAAGCGAAGGTGGATACTCACCTTTTCGAGCTCGAGGAGGTGAAACCGGAGGACCTGAATCGCCTGAACCATCTGAAACGAGAAAAAAGAATTGAATAAAATGCATTCGACGGACGCGAAGGCAGAAAAAAGGCATCGGATGGTAGGAGCTGGTTCGGAGCTGGACAGCGGGCGGCGGGCGGCGGAGGAGGAGGAGGAGGCGAAGGAAGGGCGCGGGATCGGCAGGCCGAGGGACGCAGGGGGGGAAAGGGGTGGAAGGAACATGAAGCGGACATGATTTAACCACGCGCCGCCGCTGCAGCATCGTCGACAACGGCGCAGCTCGGCAACAGATCGCTCGACGGTCCCCACGGCTATTCCCGCGCGCGGATTCGGCCTTTTTATTGCGTCGCCGCGCCGCGCCGCGCCGCGCCGTGCCGGCGCGCTTCCATTTATCCCTTCCGGTAAATATCGCCGGTGAACGGCGATGGAGCGGCGGCGCGACGGTTATTAACGGGAATTCATTATTATTGCATCGGCTAAATTCCGCTAATTGCGCATCTCAACTCGATCGCGCGGTGCGTACAATCGCGGTTCGGCGACGGTGACGACAACGACAACGACTCGATATCGCGGGTGAACGACCGTGGAAAGAGACCATGCGAAGGAAATAAATAGAAAAAGACGCTCGCGTTAGTCGTTGTCATCGCGTCGATGCGTCTCTCCGATGCGGGTCGATCGCACGTGAGAAAGAGAAAGAAAGAGAAAGGAATAAAAAATCGCGAGGAAAACGCAAAAGTAACTTATTCGTCCGGCGAGGATAATTTACCGCGACGCACGTCCGATCGCGCAAACGCGCATGCAACGATCGTACAGACGCAGGTCGGATAACCGCTCAGCGTGGAAAAGAAGACAGAGGAAAGAGAGAGAGAGAGAGAAAGAGAAAGAAAAAACGCTTGAAGCGTTTCGATTGCGATAAGACTTTCGTCGGCTCGATAAGCGAGCGCGACTGGTACCAACCACTCGTACGACTTGCCCGGCTCGTCACGTTGCGGGGCGACGATGGTTGTTTTTCGACATGCGTCCGCGCGCGCACACGCGCGGTATCGAAGGCTCGTCTTCGTCGTCGTTGTCGTCCTCGCTGGGACCATCGGTATAATTTTCCGATACCGCCATTAACGTTTAAGCCCACCCGAGACCCCTCGTCCTCGCAATCTCTTCGCGAGGAGGTCGTACGTTGCGGCGGCGACGTTGTCCCCTCCCTCCTTCCTCTCTACCCTCTCGGGAGCGGCAAAAGCGGCGATTCAATTAGGCAAAGCGGCAATCTTAATTGTTAATTAACATTATATTTATGCAATTATGGTCCATTATGATTCCACGTGGCCGATAACGAAGCGGCCGCGATGAGTGCTCCCTGAGATAGTGGACTCTCTCTCTCTCTCTCTCTCTCTCTCTCCCTCTCTCTCCCTCTCCCTCTCCCTCTCTTTCTTTCGGGAGACTGCTGCTGTGCCTAATGCTACTCCTGTCTCTCGCTTCTTCGTCGTCATCGTGGTCCTTTCGCCACGATGGGATACGCTCTCCTCTAAACGAGAGGCAGGTATAACGCCCGAGCACAGGCACAACCCGAATACGAAATACGAGTGACGAGTGAACGAGATATCACTTCGGCGAGGTATATACTTCGGTGAACGCGTATGTATGCGCGCGCTCTAGATAGAACGCATTCCGAGCGAAATCAAATCGAAGTCTCGCGCAACGATGTGTCAGGAGACATCATCCGATATGTCCGAGCAGTCGAAGCAGCCCTGGCTGCGGAAGTCGGCCCGGTCTCATGTCCGGTGGCGAAAGCACAGCGCGCAAGCACGCTGGCGAAGAATCGAAATCGCCATTAGAACGAGACAATCGTTCGCATTGTGCAGGGAACCGTCGGCGTCCAAGAGGAATATGTATCGGGTCTTCGACACTTCAGGGCCCCTCCTCGTCGGCGAACGGACGGCGAGGTAGGAGAGAGGGAAGGGCGAGCAGATAAGAAGAGGAACAAGAACGCGACGGGGCAAGGAGAGAGAAGGACAGATCGAGCGAGAAATGAAGAAAGAGAGAGAGAGAGAGAGAGAGAAAGAGACCGACCGGGGGAGAAAAAGCAAAGATGGTATCGGTCCAGTAACGAACACACAACACAGAACACCCGGGTGCTCCTTCGCGAGATGGTGCGAGGAGACGATTCGCCACGACGTGTTTCGCGTCTGCCCTCCTCCTCCTCCACGACGTACACACAATGTGTTCTCTATATCCGACGGTTTTGTTGCTCCCCCGACCAATAACGACATAGTTGCCACGACGCAGCGCGAACTCTCGCGCATAGCCGACGTTAATCGAGCCCCGTCGCGCGCGAGGCCAGTGCGGATCTCGGGAGGTCCCGCGCGCGCGCGCATTGTGATACGTACAGATACGTGGAAATGATGAAAAGCATTCTTTTCTATCCCTCGTCATGCGCAAGGTGTGCAAGACGGCGTACGCGAGTCTCTCGTGAATCGAACGTAGAACTAGAGGCGCGTCGACAATTTGATCGCGGCGAGTGGCACGGCCTCTCCCACGGCCCTTTGATTCTAATAATTATGCGAGAGACTTGTAATTCTCAAACGAGATACGCACAATGTCTCCACTATTCCGCATCTCTTTCTCTCCTCCTCCCTAGGCGTCACACAACACCGTCGTGCTCTCAACACAACACCGCGTTTGTCTGTATCTCCAAGTACCGCCCGACGAGACTCTCCTCGGGATGTCTAGTCCGGGCTACGTCTCACGTCACTCACTCACTCACTCACTCACTCACTCGCTCGCTCGCTCGCTCGCTCGCTCGCTCGCTCATTCGCTCACGCATCATCTCGCCGGCTTTCCCTCCTTCTCTTCCCCTCACACTCACTTTCTCAGCTCGCGAGATCTTTCGGCTCGGGAGGTTTTGCCACGATCGCTCATCACGTGTTATTAATTAGGCTTGCGAGCGGTCGAGTATCTCGAGCAGGGGAGGTACCGGCCCGGAGGAGGCCCTGTGGTGGAGGAAGAAGCGGAGGCCGCAAGAAAAACTGAGAAACGCACGAAGAAACGGGGGAGATGGTGTTATTTATAAGCCGACAGGGACGACGCAGTCGGAAGCAACGCCCGGCGACGAAGGGGGTGCCCCCACTTTGCTCCCCCCTTCGCTCTCTCGTTCGTTCCTTCGTCTTCGCGTCGTGCTCCTTCCTCTCCCTCTTGCTCCCTCCGCGCCTCTCTGACTTCCACTCGAGCAGCACTGCACCGTGACGCGCGATGCATGCTGCACCGACGAATGCGTGATGTATGCGCGAGATACGCGATGCGTGCGCGTACCAGCGTAAATGAGCGCTCTGGTTATGATGCGTGCGTGCGTGCGTGCGTGCGTGCGTGCGTGCGTCGGGGCTTCGCGCCTCGCGGATGCTGCGCTTCGAACCGTCCGCCGGACATTTCTTAAATATCCGAGACCACCCGCTCGCTCCAGATAAGCGGAAAGACGACGAACTTTATTACGCAACTGTATTACACTTTCGTCGGCGACAGCTGGAGGAACAAATTCGCAAAGTTTTCCCGCGAGAGCCGCCGCGTGTGGAAACTGATGGTCGTTCCACTACAGACTACGGCTTCGCTTACGTCAGAGAAACTTATCAATCGGGAGATATCGATTATTCAAGTTATTAATGTTAATTCACTGCTGCGTAAAGCGGTCTGACGGGAGGGGGAGGGAGAGAGAGAGAGAGAGAGAGAGAGATATCGACGCGCTGGAATTGTGTTAATCAACGGGCGCGCGCGCGTCTTCACCCACTTCTGAGCGCGAACAATGAAAAACGCGAGCGCGAGCACTTGTTGCCGGGCTTCTCGATTAATTTATTCGGTTCTTTAAATCGACAAAATTAATTGGACGCTGTCAATGACGTAAATGCAGGCGTGCACCGCTGCCTGTCCCACTTTTGCGCCAATCGATTCTGCATTGCACGCGCGTCCATCCGCGCGCGTCGAAACAACGCGTCGTCGACGTTCTTTTATAATTCGCGCGTACATGTGTGTGTGTGTGTGTGTGTGTGTGTACACTCGCTCGCGTACGCGTATAACTGTCATTATTAATATAAACGATAACTCCGGGGTTATAAAACTCGCGCGCGCGCGCGTTATCAAGGTCGGACGAGGGCTGGGCGAAAAAAGTCGCGGTAAGGGGCAGGTCGATTCGTTACGGGGTGCAATTGGTTGAAGCGGCGCGCGATTAGCATCTTATAATTGATTGCGGCGATTTTTGAGAGAATTAAATCCGACCTCGGCCGCGCACCGCATAAATCTTCGGCGCGTAATACACCGCGCCGGTGTTTCAACACTTCCAGCGAAGTACGGTGAAGTCCGTGATTCGGCCTTGATGAGATCGTTATATCGCGCGCAACCAGGTCGGTATCCGCATATAGGTGGACCTTGCAGCGGCGGCAGCGCGGCAGTGGCGGCGACGGTGGTAGCGGCGGCAGGAAGATGGGGGCTCGTATACAGCTCATATTAATTAGTTCGCATACGTGTACGGCGGAAAAAGGAACCCGACGGTCGCTAACGAGCAAAAGTGAGACGCGACACTACCAAAAAGGTGAGAATATCGCTCGGCGAAGAGAGAGAAGCGGGAAGAGAAAACAAGCGTACGGTCGACAAGGCGTCGCTCGGGCGGAAAGGAATTCGTAAAGTCGCGATGCATGTGTGTAAACGTGATCGCGCGATGATGGCGTAGAGACATCGTTATCGATTCGAAATACCTAATTAATTAACAAGCTCTTTGCACCTTACGCACCGTTCGCGCGACACCGCCGCGCTCTCTCGCGCGGCGATAGAAGCTCGCGCGCGGGGAAAAGAGAAAATTTCACGGTGGAAGCGATCGAACGCGGAAAAGATAGCGGGGGGGGGGGGCCGAGACGGATGCAATAAATCTCGGGACGCGAAGCGCGATTCCACGCGGGAACCGAGATCGCGCGCTCCCGGCGCGCGAACACTCCAAGAGACGACGAGAGGCGAATGAGAAGCGTGCTCGCTGCGATCTCACCGTGCCGATTGCC